TTTTGAGATGGAGTCTCACTCTGTTGCCTAGGTTGGAGTGCAGTGGCACAATCTCAGCTCACTGCAACCGCTGCCTTCTGGGTTCAAGCAATTCTCCCGTCTCAGTCTCCCAAACAGCTGGGATTACAGGCACACACCACCAAGCCCAGCTAATTTTTCTATTTTTAATAGAGACGGGGTTTTACCATGTTGGCCAGGCTGATCTCGAGCTCCTGACCTCAAGTTATCCACCTGCCTCAGCCTCCCAAAGTGCTGGGATTACAGGTGTGAGTCACCACGCCCGGCCTATTCACTTACTTTCAACCTTTCCATGCCTTTATGTCTCTTGGAAACATAACAATTTTTTTAGTTCAACCAAATTTTTTTTTCTAACCTGACCCTTTAGTTCATTCACATATATTTGTGAGAGAGAGAGAGAGGCTCCCGAATGGGACTTCTGATCTTGTGGTGAAATGCACGGGAGTTTTATAGACGAGCTTGAGGAGGCAGTGTCTGATTTACATAGGGCCTGAGAGATTGGTCGGACCAGCTGTGACATTTGCATAGCCCCTGAAGACGCAGGCCATCCCACCCTTATCTTTTATGCAGGTGGGGGCTCTACCTGGCCAGGGCCATGTTTCCTGCTTTTTTTACTGCACATGTGGGGACAAAGAAAATGGAAAAGTGAACGTCCACGTAGAATATACCCTGCTCCCGGGCATCCCTTTTCTACTGGCACAGCTGCTGGCATTTACCTATGCAAGCTTTTAGCTTGCTTATCTATGCTTGCACTTTGATTTTTCAGGCTGCTTTCTGTTAGAGAAGAAATGATTTGGGGGCTGCTCTTTATGAATCGAAAACCTTACTGAGGACTCTCTTACCCTCACTGACTGCCTAAATAATTTCGTTTCAGCTCCCGTATTACCAATACCTTTAGCTGCTGGGTTAGGTTCCAACGGCTGAGTTTTGTCGGGACGCAAACACTGAGTTTACAATACCCATGAAGCTGTCCCCTGCTTGTCTCTTGTCCTAACCAGAGGCTCCTGGGAATGCTGCAACTGAAGGAACAACCTTGATATGGCTTGTGTCTGTGTCCCCACCCAAATCTTATCTTCAATTGTAGCTCCCATAATTCCCATGTGTTGTAGGATGGACCCATTGGGAGATAATTCAATCACGGGGGCAGATTCCCCACTACTGTTCTCATGATAGTTAACAAGTGTTGGAACTGGGTTTATCAGGCCGGGAAAAATCCACACTGAGACAATGGATGACTCAGCAAGGCTAGTTTTACTTCTTGCAACTCCCCCGCAGTGTTGCCACGAGAGCACACCTGAACAAAGGAGACAGGGACATTCGTAACTTTCATAACCTGACGCAGTTGCCCTACTGCTGTGTCCAGTTTCCATTGGCCGGAATGGGACCTCACATTCTATGCTTGACCTAATTGGCTAAAAACTTGGAAAAATTTTTAAAGAAGTAAAGGTGGGGAGAACAAAGGAAAAGAGGAAGTAACTTGAGGAATGCTTAGAGAAGCGATAACATTTCCAAATAAGGAAGGGAAGGAAGCTGTAACCTAAGACTTGCCTGGGCTTGTCCAGGCATGTCAGGACAAGTATCTAGGTTAAAGTGTAGGAACTATGAACACTGGATGCACTTATTTCTTTTTTTTTTTTTTTTTTTTTTTGGGACAGAGTTTCGCTCTTGTTACCC